GGGCTGTCGTGCTCCGCCCTCTCCTGTCTGCCGTTTGCCACGGGGCTTGGGGAGCGGGCGGGGCCGGTTCGGTGGCAGGGGGCGGGCGGCCCTGGCAGCCGGGGAAGGTACTTGTGGGGCACCGCAAAGGGCAAGTTTTGCCCTGCCCGCCGGTGAGGAGATGCCCAAGCAACGGCCCTGGCATGTGTACGCGCATCGGGAGCAGGCCAAAATAGCTTGGTCTCCTCACCTCAAAAAAGATATTTTGGCCTTGGAAAGGGTTCAGAAAATGGCAACTAAAATGATTAGGGGTTTGGAACAGGTCCCATATGAGGAGAGGTTAAAGCGACTGGGACTTTTCAGTTTGGAAAAGAGGAGACTGAGGGAGGATATGATAGAGGTCTATAAAATGATGAGTGGCGTGGCGAGGGGGGATAAAGAAAAGTTATTTATTAGTTCCCATAATAGAAGAACTAAAGGACACTAAATGAAATGAATGGGTAGCAGGTTTAAAACTAATACAAGAAAGTTCTTCACACAGCGTGTAGTCAACCTGTGGAACTCCTTGCCAGAGGAGGCTGTGAAGGCTAGGACTATAACAGAGTTTAAAGAGAAGCTAGATAATTTCATGGAGGTTAGGTCCATAAAAGGCTATTAGCCAGAGGGTAAAATGGTGTCCTTGGTCTCTGTTTGTCAGAGGCTGGAGGGGGATGGCAGGAGACAAATCGCTTGATCATTGTCTTCGGTCCGCCCTCTCTGGGGCACCTGGTGCTGGCCACTGTCGGCAGACAGGATCCTGGGCTAGATGGACCTTTGGTCTGACCCAGTACAGCCGTTCTTATGTTCTTATGTTCACTGGCCGTGGCGTGGTGGGCTGGTCGGGCGCAGTGCTGCTGGTATTTTCACCCCCCTCCTGGCCCCAGCCCAGATTACACTCTGGGCTAAAGCATAAGCTAAGCGCCCAGTGGGGAGATTCAACCCCTGCCCAGCGGGCACGGACTGCGCTTGCGCTGGCAGGGGGAAGGCAGCATTGACTTTCCGCTCACACGCCAGCTCTCACCCCCACGACCCCGGAGCCTAGAGAGGGTGGCCCCGTGTTCCTGACCGTTCTGTGCAGGCTGGGGCAGAGCCTGGCTCGGGTAAGGCAGGTGTGGCCTAGTGCACGGGGAGGGCTGGGTTCTAGTCTGCTGCTTGGCTTCCCGTGCCTCAGTTTCCCCACCTAACGGGGCTGCTGATCCCGCCCTCCTTTGTGAGGTGCCGAAGGATTCATCCTTCCTGTCTTTGAGAACAGGGTGAAGAGGGACGGGGCGGAGGACCTCCCTGGGGATTTTAAATTCTTTCCCCCTTCGCTCCCCATACAACATAAGCCACCGCAAGGGTGAAAAACGTGGCTCCTAGGGCTGAGTCCCGCTCGGCTGGCCCAGGGGAGCCATTCCCCCAAAGGCAGGGAAGCAGCCCGACTTGGTGGCGTATTCCTGGGTGAGTCGGCACCTCTGCTTCCGCTGCGGCTGCAGATTCCTGGGCTGGGCACTCCGGGCACTCCAGGGCGAAGGCTCTCGGGGTACCAGGCAGAGAAATGCTTTGGAACGGCCCTGGCGTGTGTACGTGCATCGGGAGCAGCTGTGGCCTTGCCCCTCTGGCTTCTGGGCCCCCTTCTGTG